TCTTTGCAAAAAAAAAAACGCAATGCAAAATCAATAAAATTATTATTATTTTTTTGCATTGTGCATAATTCGCTATCTAAACACAAAATTAAAAGTGCAATACTAAAAAGCATTGACATGTCAATGTGATAAAGAAACATGCATGAATGACCAAATAAAGTTTAAGCAAATTTGCAAACAAATTAACATAATCTTTCTGCAGTTTTTTGTCTGTAATGTATAACTATTGTATATCTAGTATCATACATAATATGGCAAATGTGTTTTGTTTAAAAATGCAAATTTTCCACAAAATTCTGGAAATTACCACCACAAAATCTGAATTAATGTCACACTTTCTGTTTCATTTTGCTGCAGTTCATCTAGTGCAGGGGTGCCCAAACCTGTTCCTGGAGATCTACCTATTTGCAGAGTTCAGTTCCAGCCCTACTCCAGCACAACAGTCGCTAATGATCAAGTTATTCTGAAAATCTTAATGAGCTGGCTCAGGTCTGTTTGATCAGGGCTAGATCTGAACTGCAGGAAGGTAGATCTCCAGGAACAGGATCAGGCACCGCTGGTCTAGTGGTTTGTGAACACAAGAGCACACCCGGTGTAAACGGCCCCGAAAACAACGTTTTTGCACAACTGAAGGAACTGGTACCAGCACCTCTGTTCACTCAGTGAACAGCAGCAGGACACATCACAACCAGCGGCAGACCAACACGTTCCCCTGGGGACAGGGAGATTAACACATGACAGAGCTCGTTAACTCGGTACAAAGCATGATGCTAATCCTGTGCGATCCTCCGATGGACACCCGCAGAATGGGATGCACACAGGACACGGGCCAGATACGGGCGACAGCCAGCATGCCATGCCACCTGGCCAAGAAAGTAAGTGGAGAAATGGTGAGACGAGATGAGATAAGACGGATATTGATCATCAAGAGAAAGTGCAGGGGTCGCAGCACAGATGGGAGAGTAGAGCAGTGCATTAGCAGAACATGTGGGCACACTGAAATTGGGAGGTTTTGGGTGTAAAGGGGCCTTTTAACTAATTTGTAATTCGAGTAGCTGCTTGATTCTATTATCTACTGGGAGCACAAAAAAGCTAAAGAGCCAAATTACATAACCACTGATAAAAACCAGATGGTGGGGTTTGATCAATGACATCTGATAGTGTGTGTTTGTTTGTGACAGCATGGCCACAAACGTCATCTGCAGCAGACAATAAACATGCCCTTCAGCGAACAGGAGGAAGTGACATACACACACACACACACACCACAGGAAATGACTGTACCTATAAGAGGATTATCCTTCTGCTCACAGCTGACCAGCACCTTCCAGATGGACTCTGAGCCTCTGTTCTGATTCAACAGAAAACTTCATAATGTGCCCATTGGAGAAGAGCAAATCTACATGAAGCCGTTGAACTTATATACAACCAAATATTGCTATTAGATGGTTATGGTTGGGGATCTAGACTGGCAATCCAAAGGTTGTAGGTTCAAACTCCTGCAGAAGATGTTGTCGTTCCACTGCTGTGACTGAGCGAAAGTATTCAACCCCTGGTTGCACAAAAGAGACCGTTTCTGTACTGCTGTTCAGCTGCTTTAGATGAAGAATCTACAAAATAATAATGTCCCAGAGTAAATTTATATTGCTCAGAGGTTGTTTTTTCAAAGTGTTTAATGTCTCAAATTTCTCTCCAACAAATTTTCAAGAGAAATTATTAAGGCTATTTCTGGAGTACAGTAAAATTGTAGGGGCAAAAAACATGGACAGCAGTTTTGATCAATTAATCTTGAAATATGAGAATTCATGGCAAATGCTTGAGCAAAGCTTGAGACATTGAGATCCCTTGTGAAATGAGAGACAAGTGAGATTACTGTTATTTCCTCTAAATTCTGTGATTTTATTTTTTAAAGTCCCATTGACTTACTTTGAAGGCAGGACCTAGGCCAAGTCCAAAATGACCAAAATGATACAGAGACTTTGGACGGACAGTAAGGAACCATTGAAAACCACTCAGAACACTTCAGCATCTGCATAGCAACACACAAGTTTTTCTTCAGGAAATGTAAGAATCTAGTTTACTTTTACTTCCATTGGGAGTTTGGATGCATATTAAGCTGCTGACAAACTGCAAATTTTATGAACACCTTGAAGTTGATGCTGAGAGAAAATTTGTCTCCTGCCTTCGTAAAGTAGGTTGGCATTTTTCACTGCATGGAGGCCTGCGGCTGTAAGACACCTAGTTTTGAGGACAAATTATTTTAATATGGAATTCAGACACTGCAGGGATTCTTACAGCATGTGAACTTTAACCTTTTTAAAAACAGCTGGTCAATACATCCATCAGTAAACTGCAGTACCCGATGCAATCTCAAAGACACCATTATCTGAGTGACATCTGCCAAGACTGGAACAAAGGATACTAAATCAAAATGCACCAAGACAGGACTGCATGTCTGCTCTGATATAATGTTGCTCCAGAAGGAGATTAACACAGCAAGAGTGCTACAACTGCACAGCAGACATGTTTACAGAAAACTGAAGTGTAACCACAAAACACTCCCCAAAAAACGAACTCAGAATGCAACAAACCCTTCAAATTACCACAGCTGCAACACAATATCCCATCCTAACAGAGCCAACTGTCCACTGCAACAACTGCTCAGCCCCCAGGGTGCTATCTTTACCGGAGGAGTGAGTGCTTCAATATGAGAGAATTATCAGAAAAGGACAGATGACACAGGAAAACCACTGCAACTGCATCTTAGGACAACAACGTTGACCGCACTTTTTAAAATGAAGGTTCAAAATGGGTTTTTTCATAGCGATGCAACAGAAGAACCCTTTTGGCTCCTCAAAGAAACTTTCAGTAAAAAGTTCTTAAAGAACCATTTTTTTTTCTTAGTGTCAAGAACATTTTAAAAATCCAAAGAACCGTTTTTCACTATACAGAACTTTTGTTCAATAAAAAGGTTCCATGGATGATAAAAGTTCTTCATGGAACCCACAATGCCAATATATCTAAAAATAAAAAATAAAAAAAAAAGAGCGTTACTTTTAAGAGCGTACAGTGAGCAAGCTAATGTTGGTGGGCCAAATAATGCATAGTCACATTCTCTTATGTCTCTTCAGATAATCATAAACCAGAATTTGACCTTTCTGATGTTATCTGCTGTAATTTCTTCTCTAGCGAGTTCCACCCCCCATTCCTCATACAGTCACTACCCCATCATGCCATGACACATTTGTAATTGCTGGCAATGCCTCCCTCCAAGAGCGTAATCCCCGTAGGCTGGAGTTAGACAGCTACAGCATTGTATCGGGATCATAATGACAGAACAATGCCAGTCAAATAAAAATGGATCTGAAATAATTAGAGAGAATTGTTCACTGTGACCTTTGCATTGAGTCAATTTTACAACAGCTTAAAATAGTATGTATTACTAAAATCTGTTCCATAATTATATAAAATTCATTCCATAATTATACACAATATACCAGACAAAAGCAGAAGAAATAGATCTGATGAAGCCTCACTGGACCGGTGAGATGCTGGCCGCAGGGGGTTGAGGCATCCGTCTTAAACCTTTTGTTTGCCGAGAAGAGAGAAGGGAACTATTAAGCAAGACAATAGGATGAACTGACTTACAAAGCCAAGATTTAGCAGCAGGAGAAGCCAAACCAAGCCGCACCTGCTGCGAAACGCATCATTTTGACTCCAGTTGCGCAGGGAGCAAAGCCAAGAAACCACCCTGTTGATTTTCATTGTCCCTAAACCACGAGAAGAAAATACCAACATAAAACTAATCAAAATGACCCCACAAGCCCTTTGAATAGAGTTCACCCGGGATCCTCTCTAAAACTCAAAGTACATTACTAAAAATCCAGTCAGATTAATCACCCTTGTCGCTTTTTATATGGAGAAACATCAATACTTCACAGTAGACTGTTGAATGATATCGAGCTGCTAGTTGTTAACTGGTCTCCATCTCTTAGAAATGGACAGGGTTTGGACAGATAAACTGCACCGGCGGGCGTGTATTTTGGTAGGTTGGGTCGTTTAATTAATTCCTGCGGTATCATTATGAGGTCTGTTACACCGGCACCTCGGCATCAGCCTTAATAACACTTGAAATGCGGTAAGAAAAACAGATATTCATATATTTAAATAGTTTTTTAAAATATATACTTGAGTAGGGGACTAATTTTTTTAGATTTGATGTTTGGCCACCAGTTTAATAGTCTAAATATACCGGCAAATTCAGTCACTGTAATACATTGTATTAGGACCGCGGCGGGTTTTATATCAATATTGTATGGACCGAAAGGGTGAATATATTATACGAACCGGGCGGGTGAATATATTGAATGTGGAGCGGGCGGGTGGAGGAGGCGCAGAACAAAAGACTCGAGCGAACAGCCGAGCGGAAAGTTTCACTGCTGCGAAACACACAAAACACACCACATGTAGAAAAACGGCATTATAATTTATTCTCCTTCATCTGTCAGCGCAATATGTGTTTTCTGAACGACTGTCCGTGATTAAATATCGCTCACAGTTACGAGAGGGTTTGCCGTCACCGCCCAGACATCCACCATTGAAACGGACTCAAAGGATGAACAAGGCAACACGGAATAAAAGGAGACGATCCATGCCGGTTAACAAGCACTAAAAACGCAAACATAACTAAACCGGTGTGGTAGATTAAAGCCTATGAATCAAACCGGTGTGAAACCTTATCGCTTCAGTGGCATTTTCATCTGATGATCTCATTAATTCCGCCGGTAGCCTACTTCTATTATAATGACCGATGTGAACAAGAACTCATTAATATTCATTTACATATCAATACATGCAGTCGTAAATCATGCTGTTGAGTGAAAAGCATTTCTTAAACTGACACTGACATTAATTATTTAGTTTAATTAATTGTGACACAGTGAAAAACGCTTTTAATGAATCGCCGGTTCTCTCTAGGATCGGCACATAGCGAATCTTACCGAGTCTAGCGCTTTTCCTTCAGCAACGCCCAGTCGGTACTCGCGTCTCCTCCCGTTTTTTTCCAAGCGGAACCCGGCGGGCAGCACTGCGAGTCGAGAAAACCCGGCAACAATTGTTGAGATAAAAACCAGTAGCTCTGACGGAGGCAGCTTGGAGCTGACTGACTGTTTGCCGGCAATAAAAGAGATGCGCGTCTCCTGGCAGCACAGAATGAAACGGAGCTCGGCGATCCGCGCACGCACGCGCACACACTATGCGGTCGCGAGAGGGAGAATTGAAAAGGATGAAAAGCGCGAGCGGCTTCGGTCTCTCCCGCCTGTGACCAATGAGCTTTCAGACTGATGTTTATGCAAATGAGGGATGATGTCATCGCACAGGCAACCCCGCGTCCTTTCTTTACGCGCCATCCCTCTTCTTTTCTGTCGCCTCGGACCCCAGTGCAGCCCCTGCCCCCCATGAGCCCACCCCCGACGCCCGCGTTCCCGCCGTTTCTTTTCACTTTCACTAATGCACACAAGAGAGGAAGAGAAACAGGGGCAGGCCTAACTAAAACTTTAACATTTATCATGTTTGTTTCTAGACATAAATAAATGTTAACGGAAACTATTATAAAAAGGGGATTTCATTTAGTTGCCGGGCAACATTTTTAATTTTCTTTTAGTTTAAGTATTAAAATAATAACAATTAAAAATAAAAATCAATAAAACCTATCATTACATATTTAAAAAATAAAAATGACAAACACACCAAATGTACTAAAACTTTTACAAATTAAAATGAAAACAAATACATATTAAATACATTTAAAATATCACTACAAATATATCAATTATACAATTATAAAAACTATAATAGTATATGAAACTAAAATAACAGACAAGTTAGGTTTTACTGCAGGACATGGATTACACCTTGACCAATGCAAAATTTGGCCTAACTATATTCAAAATTATTTAAAAGACATAAGCTGAATAGAAAAAAACTGACAACTGGTGGATTTTGGTAGCATTTTCTCCTCTTTAAAGGTTGACACACCTATTTACTTTGCTTTCATGACTATATGCATGATAATATTGTTTCATTATTTACACTTAAGATAATTTTTTTCTGCTCTTTGTGAACCACATTTTCGATTTGCAGCTCACCAGTTGAGAACAACATGCCTATACATATCAAATTTGAAACCTCAGTGGGATTGGGGGTAAAATAGTAAATCAAATATGTTCTGGTGTAGCATTTAGAGGTGTATTTAAACAAGAGGGGCATTTCAGATCAGATTTCAGACAGATTTATTTGGCCTACTGCTTAAAGACACCTGCGTGAGCACATTAAAATCTGCTCCTCTATAGTGGACGGTTTGAATGCATGCTTATATTTGCAAAATACATATTTGTCCTATTATCTGAATGCGGTTTGGTAGCGTTTGCTTGTAAGCCTGTTTTCCCAGACACTCTGGAGAAGCCTCTAGACTGCTACTGCTCTCATACAAGTCTTTGTCTTCCTTTCTCTCTGGCGCTGTTGAGACGGTGAGACACAGGGTGGGCTTTCGGCATGTCTGTCTGCCTCTCTGTCTCGTGAGCGCTCTCCTTTTCTGACAAACAAAGCTGCATGTAAATGTTCTTCTAGCAGAAGCCGATGCATTTCTGATCACACAAAAAACTCCTGTTGTGTTTATTCTCTGCAGTTTTTACCGGGTCCTATGAGCACAGTCTTACAGACCTGTCAGTATGAATTGCATCGGCAACAATATCATTGCAAAATTTAATAGAGATGTCAATGGCAATTCTCACCTCTGGTACTGTATTAGCTCATGTTTTCCTACTTTTGTTTAATTTCCAACCTCATAATTTGAATACAGTCACATGCCAATCTCAACAGGCTCCTGTACACACCCACATAGAAATATTACACAATATTTATTGCGCAAACAGGTGCCAAAAACCAGGCTGGATTTATTGCATATTGATAGAGCCTTTGCCTTGACTCAACTGTGACATCATAGAGCTTTTGGAGTGGCGCGATGACCTCAAGCTTAGCAACAGCAGAGTATCCAGGCAAAATAAAAGGTGACATTTTAGAAAGTCCGAGCACTCAAACGCAAGTGTGTTGGCTGACGGACGTTTTGGCCCCCTTCAGGAGCGGACACAAAGGGAGGAAATATCCTGACCCTTGCGGTAAAGGACAGTGCCGAACCGGCAGGAAGGGGCGGGGGATTTGAGCCGCCACTCACTTCCTATGCTATTTATCTGATTGTTTTTTCCCCAATGCCAGCGATCAGCCCTGCAGCTGGGCCACACGGCTCGCGAACAACGGCACCTTGCGGTAAAGGACAGTGCCGAACCGGCAGGAAGGGGCGGGGTATTTGAGCCGCCACTCACTTCCTATGCTATTTATCTGATTGTTTTTTCCCCAATGCCAGCGATCAGCCCTGCAGCTGGGCAACACGGCTCGAGAACACTGGCACTCGCACAAAACACAAGCCTGAGCTAGAAACATGACAGGAACAAACACTCCCTAAAACAAAAACAGCCCAATTCAGAAACTTCAGAGCAGAAGCTAAGAAGTAAAATCCTATTTGTTTTCTACACAGATGAACTAACTTTGGCGTATAGATAGCGTATTAACGTATTAGCACGCGTATTTCCTTCTGAAGTCTAGTTAGTGTTTATTTGCCAAATCCTCATCAGATTTACAGCAAATTAAAAATGTATTACTTTAAATCAATGCCTAAATGCCTGTTCACACCAAGAATGACAAGTATAACGATAACTACAACTATAAAATTTGATTAGCCTAAACGTTCTAATTCTAAAGCAGCCTTTGACCATGAGGTGAGAATTACCAGTATTTCCCCACTTTAATGTTATTCTGTAAACATTAATTATTAATAATAATTGACAGAAACAATTATGTATGTTGGTTAGCCCAATGAGAAAGTTCTGTGCAACTACCACTAGGAGGCGAAATGCAACAATCATAAGCAAATGTCGAAAATATTGTCCACTATCTTCAGAGAATATCTATCTATCTTTGACTATCAACAGACAGACGTTATTCATTTTCAATGTAGAGTATTACCAGAGCAGTGTGGAGTTACGACCATATGTGTAGGTGGATATTTCGGATCTGATTTGAGATTCGAATGCAATTAAATAGTTGACCTCCTGCTGCTAGATGATATGTGATCATCCGTATCCGTATGTGACCAAATGTGATGTTTTCTAATCAAAACTATGAGCGCGAGTTAAGTACCAGCATTTTTTCACTTAAACATTATTCTTTAAACACTATATTGTAAAATTGTGGTAGCAAATAATTCAGGCAGAAATAATTATTGTATAATTATTTAGCCATTTACTGGCCTCAAGCCAGTGTATATGACTTTCTTCTTTCAGATGAATACAATCAGAGTTATATTCTGCTAACTGGCGTACGACATAGGCATAGCGTAAGCTCTGGTGAGAAGCGATTAAATTTCGATATAAGCCAAGAGGAGACTGGTTTTCCTTTGCTGTAAACAAAACTTGGTTCTCGCAAGACTAGCATATTCTCACCGGAGCTTATACTACACCTACATCCAACGTCATCTGCAGAAACGCCACTCTCTCGTGAAAGCGTATAGGACAGTTAGTGGAAGCTAGAGATTATGGTTTATAAAGTTTAAAATATGGATATTTTTCTTACACAAATGCATTGATTCGCTCCAGAAGGCCTTTATTAACCCCCTGGAGCCATGTGGAGCACTTTTTATGACGGACAGACGCACTTTATTGGACTTCAAAATCTCAACAGCCATTCACTGCCATCATAAAGCTTGAAAGTGCCATATTTTTGTAGTATAACTCCGATTGTATTCGTCTGAAAAAAAGAAAGTCATGTACGCCTAGGATGGCTTGAGGGTGAGTAAATAATGAGGTAACTTTCATTTTTGAGTGAACTATCCCTTTATTTTAAAAGTTTTGTATTGTACCATATTTCAGTTACGCCATTAGCAATGTTCATAAATAATTTAAATACACACATTGTCTTTTTGTATGATTTTTCAAATACCTTTTTGCACACTGATTCATAAACTGGTTGGTTTGGCTCATGACTTTTTGTTGATTTTTTTTTGGTCACATGCTTAAGTGAAAAAGACCAGAAGATAGCCTACTTCTTGCACCAAGGAAAAGTGTCTGTTTACTGTATAATCACTTCATATGATAATATGAGAATATCAGGCAAGTCAATGTATAACACAGGCAAGAGTCCTAACATTGTATAGCCTACCACCGTACAAAGAAGAGCGTCTCTGAAAGAAAAATAAAATTGCAATGCACTCTGAAAAACACTAGAAACACGCTCAAAGCAAACACGCAGATGGACTGGGAGTGTGTCGAACACACACACACACACACACACACACCTCTTCTGCACGGGTGCAGCTTATAAACGCTAATGAAGCACACGCTCGCACATGCATCACGCCCGAAACAGCCTCCTACAGCAGGACGATTATGAGAACGGAAGCATAATGACTAAATAACATTATACCGCTGCGTTCATTACATTGTCTCAGTTCATTAGCCTTTAGATAAAATTAACTTAATTTATGGGAAAGTTTATGTACTGTAAAAACACAGGGAACTTTAAATGTTCTGAAATGGCGTTTGGTCTTGTACTGTATGGCGTACCTTGTCAGTGTCGTGCGCTTTGCTTGGCATCTTCTCAAATGATAAATAATGATGTTCTTATGTTTGTGTTGTGAAGGTTTGGCTTTGCCTTTTGATAATAATTCAGTCTGTGTCTCTATTTGAAATGTAGATCTGTGTTCTTGGCGCTCGTGTTGTGACTGAAGCGCAGAGGCATTCGAATGGTTTGCCAGCTTTCATTTATCAATGTCGTTTTATTGTGTCTGTTTTCTTCAGTAGTCTGGCTCTTGATTCACAGCCCCTCCTCCATCTGTGGTCTCCTTTCTCTCTCCAGACATTTAGTAAATGAAGTGCAGCAGAGCCGCATCTCATGATGTTCCATCTACTGGACCATCCGTGTCAGTGCACTCACTTTATTTACACGGTAGATCAGTATGTCTCAACCAGGGGTATGGAAGCTCATCTCTGCCACAGAGTTAAAATATTGAAAAAAGGTAATCTCACAATTCTGACATTTTTCTCAGAATTGCCCGTTTAAATCTTGCAATTGAATAAACTTTGGGGAGAATTGCATGACATAAATTCCAAATTCTGAGAAAAACAAATTTTAGTGTTCATTGTTTCATTGTTGCGATGAAAATTCTGAATTCTGAGACAAAAACAACAACAAAAAACTCAGAACTGCGCAACGTAAACTCAGAATTGCAAGAAAAAAAGGTCAAATTTGGGAGAAGTAATTTCAGAAATTGGAGAAAAAAAGTAAGAATTGTGAGATATAAACTCAGAATTAAGAGAAAAAGTCATCAGAATTAGATGATGTAATTTTGGAATTCTGAGAAAAAAGTTAGAATTACAAGATGTAAATTCAGAATTCTGAAAAAAAATCAGAATTCTGAGAAGTAAAATTTGCGAGATATGAATTCCGAGAAAAAGTCAGAATTGTGCATTTAAGAATCAGAATTATGAAAAAAAAAAAAGATAGAATTGCAAGATGTAAAAGAGATGTTATATCTCTTGAAATTGCATTTATTTAAAAGAAGTCAAAATAAGTTTTAAAATAAGCTAAACCAGCTAAAAATCAAGGTTTTTCTTATTTTAATTTACACACGTCAACAACTGCTTTTTGTCTTTGAAAAATCAGGATTCCCACAGTCTTGAAGCCTGATTTCAAAGTCTTTAAATGCCATGGGGAAATTCTATATTTCTTTTCTTTATGCCAAGCTCTAAAACATGCATTACTAGGGGTGTAAATCGGATGGTTCGTCACGATACGATACGATATCGATTCTCATACCCAGCGATACGATATTTGCCGATACCTCAAAAAATTCTACGATACGATTAGGATTCGATTCGATACAGGAGTATATCGATCGATATATCGATATTATGATATTATATACCTATTTTAAACAACCATCTACATTTTTATTAACTCACAAATGCAACCAAAATATATAACATGGAAATGTAGTAATCAAATGTAAAATAACTGCATAGTCTTCACTGTATAAATTAAATATAGATTAATCATTTTTGATGTTACAAAGGTTATTTAGTCAGGAGCAGTGAGCACTTGTATTTTTCTTTGACAGCTTTATATTTATTATTAGTTTGCTTTCACGAAAGCACGGATTTAATATAGCCTAAGCCTACTGATACGCATGCCTTTTCTTCCTCAACTGTTTAAGTGAAAGGGATAGTTCACCCAAAAATGAAAATTTGAGGTTTATCTGCTTACCCCCAGGGCATCCAAGATGTAGGTGACTTTGTTTCTTTAGTAGAACACAAACGAAGATTTTTAACTCAAACCGTTGCAGTCTTATCAGTCTTATAATGGCAGTCAATGGGCTCCACAGCTTCAAGAGTAAACAAAACATACACAGACAAAACCAAATTAAACCCTGTGGCTCGTGACGA